ATTCACAGCAAAAACCAAGGAGAAAATGATGAAAATATTATTAATCAAGAGAAAGAAATTGGTGGCAGAGAGCCTTTTATACAAAACATGACAGTAAATAATCTACAAACTAAATTACCCCAACAAACACACCAAACGCTTCAAAAGTTTTTATTATTTATTAAAAACTTACAAAACACACAAATAAATGGATCAAATTTTTACGCTGAAGGATACACAGAAAAAATCAAATTAGACTTAATTTCCACTTCTTTGCCGTCATCGGCTCAAGACAATTCCAAAGTAAATGAAGTAACGACATTGAAAAACGACAAAACTACGTCAGATTACGATTTCATTCAACAAAATAGTGATCCCAATGCAGAACTAGGTGGTAGACCAAATAATCTCGAGTTCCCAAAATTCCAAGGTCAAGAAGGTGAAGAGATGAATTTATTATCTATGTTACCTGTAAAAGAAACAACAGAATTGACAAACAAACATATTACGCTAAAAGACGATATTGAACAAGAAAGTAGTATCAAATTAGAACCACAAAGTGAAGAAAATATATTAGAGCACATCGGATCCAAATACCAAGAAAGTAAAACGCCGATTAATGGACTTACCGTTATTTCAGAAAAGAATTCCTTAACCACAATTGAAAATAACTTATTTGGAACGGAAACTTCGAAGTATCCCATAACAATCAATCCCAATATAAATAAAGTAATACAGTGGCCAAAAGAAAGAGGACGAGCAAAGAAACACAAGGAACAATTTGGTGATACAAAAGAAGAAACAGAAAGTAAAGATATTAAATCAGAAAACACGGAATTAAAAGATCAAGAAAATGACACTGCATATACTAAATTTACATTAATTCCACTGATTACTACTAGCGGTACGTCAGCAAAGTTGGAAGAAAATTTATCCCAAGTAAAAACTTCCAATTCTCCGCAATATATCTCTGAGAATTTGAAGGGAAACAAAATGTCTGCAATGAGAAACAAATTAGCTATACTTAAGAATAGTAATAAAATGAAGTTAGAAATTGAAACTACCGAAAAACAATATGAATATACAAACTCAAATGGACAAATAAACGAAACACTACTGACTTTAAATACTTCGACTCTAGAAGACATTAAAGCAGAAATAAATCTTGAGGACAACGGCATAACCACATTGGCAAATAAAAAGGAACAGGCTACGCTAAAGTTTTACTTTGAACATAACAATGAAACTAAGATGGACTTTAAAGCTAAAGAAAATAAATTTGAGTTTACAAACTTAAAAGATCAAGACGAAAAACCATATACTTTATCTACCATTATATCGAAAGAAATTAATACCGTAGTAAATTTTGAAGTAAATGAAACAGACACACTTTATAACGATTCTTTAGCTACTTTAAAAGATTATAATGAACAAAATAGAGGAACCAAGGTAGAACGAGGAGATAAAAAAAATGAATCCAAAAACACGAATTCGAAAAACCTGAAAAGTGAAACAATGGATAAAATATCGACCACTTTTGCTAAAAATATTACAGCTGGTATATCAGCCAATCTAGTAAATAAATTATCTAAAACAGAAAGTACTACAAATGTAGCGAAACCGATAGATGTACCCAATAATGATGAATTTATGCTTCCTCTTCAAGCAACCAAAGATATTCTACATGCCTTATCTACCTCAACTTCACAAGAAATTAAATTTGAAGTCAATTATTTGAATGAATTCACTACATCGAACAACGATACAACTGAACCAAAGGATTATACTGAACAGGAAAATAAATCTGAGCAAACAGAGTTGAGTAAAATGGAAATTACCACATGGAGAAATGAAAACAAAGAATTTACGCTTGAGGACCATATTACACAAGATTATGCAACCAAGACAGAATTAGAGGCTAAAGAGAATGAGTCCAATTACAAAGAGTTTAAAAACCAAGAAAATGAAAAATGGACTCTGATATTTGCGTCAAGTGCAAAAAAAAATACAGCTGAAGTAATGAAAAACTTATCTAAAATAGAAACTAGAACATATGTAACACCTAAAGGGACATATTTACCGAATAACTATAAATTCACTCTACCTGTTGCGGTGACAGAAGATATACTGTATGGTTTGTATACCTCAACACAAGAAGAAATTAAAAAGGAAATCTATTCCGGAGCAAATGAAATTATCACTCTGAGACACGAAGACAACACTACTTCTCCAGAATATCGTATTAAAAACGATAATGAAATCATGGTCAAACAAGAAGCTAAAAAAAATATGTCTACAGAATATACAAAGTTGCAAAACCAAGAAAGTGGAAAAAACAATGAGACACCAATTTCTACTGCAAAAGAGACAACAGCAAGTATATTAGCCAAGGTAATGAAATATCCATCTACAATAGAAACTGGAATAAATATCACAGATGTACCTTACTATGATAAATTTACATATCAACTTGCAGTTACAGAGGATGTTATTAATGCCTTATCTACCTTGAATCAACAAGATATGTTAGAAGTCAATACTGAAGAAAATGTAATTAACACATTGTCAGTTATTCTAAAAGATCAGGTAGAACAAAAGAAATCAGAGTTAAAAATCCAAGAAAATGAAATGCTAAATTCAATGTCCTCATTTGTACCGGAAGAAATAAAAACGGAAAATAAATTCGAAGTAAATAAAATAACCACCATGGTAAATGAAGTGCCTGTCCAACAAGATCAAATTGAACAAAATCATGGAAATAACACATCCAAGAATATAGAGTATAAAAACCGACTAGATGAAAGACCACAAGCAATTTCTACCTCTATTTTTAATGAGATGACTAATACACTAGCTACTTTAGTAGACGATATACATAAAACACAAACTACAACAGATGTAAATGAATATTCATCTACAAGGATATATAATTCAGACGTGGTAAATAATGCTGACATTACTCTACCGCTTTCAGTAACAGAAGATACATTTACATCGAAAATAATGGAAAAAGTGACAAACATCAAAATGACATCAGATATTGAACATGTTGATCAAGGAAATGTGCTAAATAATCCTGGCTTTGCGAACAATAATGAAGTAAATAATATTAAAATGTTTCCGAAACCAAAATATGTTATTCTAGGTGACTTCACAGTAGTTATAAGAATAAAACCAACACTGTCAATAGATATTGAAAATAAAAAAGAACGAAATATAGGAAGCTTCACTCTGGATTACAGCAAACGAAATCACGAAACTTTTAAAAGTGTAACAAAAGAACCTATTCGTGAAGGTAATGTAAACAATATAGACGTAAATTCAAACTTTTTTAATGACGAAAATGCTCGAATTAGTTCCAACTCATTAAACAGTGACGATAATAACGTATTTAAGCCAGCAAGAATAGAAGAAGTTGTAACAACGACCGATTTTGGTAGTGAAGATGGTAAATTTAAAAATATGTTGACAACAGGCTTACACGAAACACTACCAAAGCCAATTGAGGACAAAAATAATATTAATAAAAAAACTATTAACATTATTTTAATGGATGATTCTGTGTCAAATAATATCGTGTCATTAAACGCTGAAACTGCCGTTGATAAAATTTCATCAACTAAATCCTTATTGTTAGGAAAGAAAAACACGGAAAGCCCTATAAATAGAGAAGAAAATATATTGAGTATTAAAGCTACTACTACCGAAAAACAACATTTTATGAGGAAAACAGTTCCACAGAAAATTTCTAAAGAAGCCTTCAGCAATCTTATTACTGATCCACGAATAGTGGAAGATTACCATGGAACGGTACCAGTTACAGTGAACATTCCTTCAAGGGGTACAGAAAAATCAACACTACTAAATCTAGGTGAAGAGACTATAAATTATGTAGAAAGTGAGAAGGAGTCATTTACAATTACATTACCTAAACCCCTATTTGAAAAAGTAAAAATGATGGGACATTTAACGTATGAACCACGTGCAGATTTAAACGAAAAACACTTCACAAATGCAGAAGATAAACATGTCATTACTAATGGCTTTTTAAAAATGGCCAACACAAATGTTGACTTTGAAAGTACTATGAAAAAATATAATGTGTCAATATCTGCCCTTAAGCAAAACATTGACCATAAAAACGGTATAAATGAAAAAGAAAATATTTTCACAGACACCTTAAAGCCGACAGAAAAAATATTGCTTCAAGATACTGATACTCACGATATTCAAAAAAATATTGTAATTAAGAAATCAAACACAACAAGAATGAAATATCCAACTTTAATCTATTCTCCAGAAAGTTATTTAGATCATCGCTTAAATATAGAAAATAGCAATTTGGGATCTAACCATGATAGTTTAGCATCGGAAACAAATGATTCATTGCAAAAAAAATATTCAAACGAAGCCAATGAAGTGCTGTCTGAGCTGTCTGCGGTTTTGAACTCGAATTGCAACAGTACAAATAAGGTCCTACCGTCGGAAATATGCTATACAAATATTTTGGCGAGCATTGAGCATGGCAATAACAATCTTTCGAGCGATGATCCAGAGATTGCAACATCAAGACACATAAACGTTCCTGAAGGCAAAGCATTAACAACCTCGGAAGCGGAAAATACATCCTCCAAATCACAAAAGACATCACCTATTGCAAAAAAAATAATGTCAAAAGGTTTTGCAAATCCAACCCAATCAGACTCTCATATCACCCAAGTTAAAATATCAAATTTAACTACATACGCTAAACAAATGGATCCAAATAAAAAAAGTAGCCAACATGACACGTATAAAACTGGACATAGCGAACCATTACACTTAACGGTACTTGACAAAATTTCACCTGTAAATTCGGAAAATACTAAAGACGATGATTTTAAAAAAGCAATCGTAATTGCAAGTGCTTTTAAGAATATGGATATTTTACTTAGAAAGTCGGGAGAAAGTGTGTCCCATCAAGAAAACACTAAATCGTTAAATGCTGAATCCAGTCCAATGAAAGTAGAGTCTCTAACAAGGATACTAGCAAATAAAGCACCGAAAAATAGGTATAATGCCGCGGTAGTGGCAAATAACACAAATAGTTCACTGGGTCTAAATGACAGCAAAATTTATTATATTCCGTTCATGTCTAATGCCGCTTTCAATAAACCAACTTCAGAAACTTATTTGAATATAACGGATTACATGGCCAATGCAATGAAACAAGAACAAGTTTCAGCAAACTTAAAAATCGAAAATGAAACCAACAATAACTTAAATACAGAAAAAAGCTTACATCCAAAAGACAACAAAATTCAATCAATATCTTTTACACTTAATTCAAACATGAAACCACAAAGTTACAAAATTAACGAAAACTTGTATGATCCTACTGACCCAACCCGAATTGCATCTATTAAAGAACACAAAGCATTTGATGGCAATGACAAAATAGTAAATATTAAACCAGTGGAGAATGATGTGGTATCGAAAACAAAAGCATTTGAAGATGTTACTTTCATTAAGACAAAAGAAAATAATAACATGACAGAATCTCTAACGACCTTCGACAAAACATTTAATAATTCTGCATTAGAATTTACAGACGCAAATCCATCGTCATCTCCGGTGAAATATGAAAGAGTAAAAATTGACAATGATACAGACTTTCAAGAGAAAAGAGATTTTCTAAATAACATTAATAAAAGCGATGATAGTATTAATTTGAAACGTAATAAATTTATGAGTATGGATGAGATAACGCCGTCCACTATTCAAATATCAACGATTATTACCAAAAACATATCTGAATCTTCAGAAAATTACGCTGCTTCGAGGGCTATTAATTTAAAAACATCAGTTCTCGTAAATAAAATCACAAGGGCTTTACCTAAAGATGAAGAATTGGACCATTATGGGTCCAAAGCCATAACACACGAAAATGACCCCCTAAATTTGAATAATATTCTTATTGAAAATGAGAGTACTAAAAGTAAATACGTTACTCTTGTTCTATCTTATGGATACTCTCCACAACTTTTTACAAAATCAATATCATCAAAAGAATTAAAAGAAGCTGTAACAAGTCCAGTACCAAAAGCAGAGATTAAACAATTTTTCATTACGCCTGATAAGATTTCAAGAGGTAGTGTTTACTTTCCTGCACCTACTAAAGCTGCACATGAAGTCACAAAAACACCTATAAATGCTGAAACCGGAGAACCTTACTTACTTCGAACGGATATTCAAAATCTTTGGAATTCACTTCAAGATATGACAGATAAAAGCGCCGAACGTACCGTTAATACAATTCAAACAAACCAGCCAGTAAGTAACGTGGGAACTGTTAAGACTCTATTGCATACTGGCAAATTACCTTCACCCACGACTGAGTTAGATGTTAATTATCACTTGAGAGCATCCAGTACTAAGGATTTCAAATTGAGTCAGCAATCGTATACACAAATACCAGAATACTTAGGTAATTATGAAACTGTCAAGCATTTACTTACAAATGCAGAGGTAATACAAAATTCAAGTAAAACACAAATAACAAAAGGATATGTGCCAATCATGATATTGACACATACTCCAATAAACTCATTAATAAGAAAACCAGTCCATAATATAACTCAAGTGAATACAACCTACAAACCCTTGTTACGTACAGGATTAGACTGGTATACAACTAAACTAAACAGACAAACTTTCGATACTGAGTCTGAAAAACGAAATGATTATTCATCTATATATAACTATAAGTCTAACTTAACAAAACATATTAATGAGAGTTCTACCTCTGGAGGAAACATAGAAGGGTACGTTGTCTCAAAATTACATTTAGTGCCAGAAATCATGGAAAGAGTCACCCACAACGATAGTGTGGCATCAATGATGCCCGGGAAAGAAGAAACTATGTTAATACAAAGATTATACTCAAAAGATATGAATAACGGTAAACCAGATATGTACAATACGCTCACTAATGCATATTCCACTGCCAAAAAGGATAAAGAAAGTATAAAAAATAGTACTCCCATGGAACAAAGTTTTGTAGATGATAACAAATATGAACACTATGTATTAGCAACCAATATGCTAAGATTTTTTTTACAAGCAACACATTCATATTCCAATATTCGACCACCAACTACTACAGTACGTAGCACTGTGGAAAGTATTTCGTATTCTACACTATCAGACGAAACTGTTACGAGAAGTACGAAAAAAATCAAGAGACACCGAAATACTAAACATCCAAAAACTAATGCCAATACGACGACAGGACCGCGAAGGACAACGATCAGAAAGAAACGTCGTCGTACCAGAAAAAGAATTGTCTACAATACATATGAGCCAACAATGTACGAAGATCTAGAGATGGCTTACACAAAGGAACTTCGGAAAAAAGTCACACAGGTAGAGCCAACTCGGGCAAATGGTGAAGAGGAATTCGGTGAATTATTGAAATCTTCAGATCATGTACACATTGGTGATGTCACTGCGATTCTGCCATGGCCAGTATATTTCCCAACTCCCAGTACTACTCGGCAACTCAACGTCAGAGGAAAATTAGAACTTTCTCACATATTAAGGCAGCCAAAGCGAAAGAATGCAGACAGTACTTCAAATAAATCGATGAACACAGTTGGAAATATGAATATGAAAGTAAAGCCAAGACCAACACGGCTACGTGTTTTTAGCGCTTTGTACAAAAACCACATGGATACAACAGAAAGAATGACAAGTTTGCCAGGACCTCGTATTGACAGTGTACCAGTAACTGTTTCCATGTTGGGCCCAAAATCTACACATTTAGTTAAATTCAATCATTATGAGACGGTTACTACAATGGAGCCTACCAGATTATTGAAGGATGAAATACATAATAATATGAAAACAATTCCAGTACAACCAATACAAATTATTTTCCATAAAAGCTCTGTTCGCAATGCGTTCACAAGTACACTACTTCCGCCAGAAACACCAAAACCAAGAAAATTTATTTATCGATTGGCAACGCGAAAGCCAGAGAGAAAACTTACATTCTACCAAGGATTCGGAAAAATATATGAAAAACCTACACATTTTCCCATGTTTGGAGATATATATATGCGCACCGCCGACACTACAAAGAATGTAAAGAGCCCGACGATTCATAACAATATTACTAAGGCTGCTAGAAATGAGAACAAAATGGCCGAGGACAAAATTACTGCTTTTATGAAAGCCACTCGTGCCAGTAATATGAAAATTCTTTTGTTCCGTAAAAATGATCCCAAGGTCAGCAAAATAAATCAGTTTCAAACTAAGAAAATAATGACAGACATAACGTATTCTCCATATGTAAAACGGGGTCCAACAGCAACATTTGCAGCCAAACGATTTCAGCTTAGTAAAAAGAAAAAAATCAAAATGGGTGTGAGCGGAAAGAAACCTTTAAGGACTAAGTTTGCGCCCAGTAATGTCGAGGTTGAAAGTGCAATTGACACAAATGTAGATTTCGCTAAAAAAGACCACATTTCATTAAATTCACAAAAAAAGTCAGACGTAATTAAAAAAGTGATAAATAAATCTCAAAGAATTAAGGGAATACTTATGGACCCTTTAGATCCCAGCTATAAAACTATGTTACTTCCCGAAAAAGTAATACCAAAATTCAAAGTAAAAAAGGTACACTACAGTGTAGTTGAAAAGAATTTATTGGCGACGAACCGGAAAGAGTTATTATTCAATAATATGATGACCACTGCAAGGATAAATTTCTTTGATGAGTTAGCAGCTAGAAATAACATCCAAACTTACACAGTCCATAGTGCGAAACCTTTACTGTCAAGGCAAATATTGCTGCGGCCCAAATTCGCAAATATTGACAACGTAGTCAGAATAACACAAATGCCACCATTTGAGACTACGAAGAAATATACACACTCCAAATTAAACGCAATTGACTTCTTCGAGCAACACAAACCTGCCGTGTTGAATTTGTTGCAAAACAAAAAGGAATTCAGAGCTTTAGCACCAAGCACGTGGGATAATAATGTGAATGTTTTGGAAAAGCCCCACTACTTTCCAATAATGAATGGAATCAATTCGGAGAGCAAATATAGAATGCCAACTAGGGGGTTTCTAGTTCCTGAAGGGAAATACTTTCTGGAGTCGTCAATGGAATCGTTCAGAGAAGCAGCAATGGCAATGCCTTCTCCAGCACCTACACGTTACCAAATGCACTATGTGACACCGTTGAAGCCTCGGCGTTCGCGACGAACCATATACTTTCTTAGCCCGACAGCGTCTTACATACAATATTTTAAGTGATTTTGTAATACGTAGCAATAAAACTATTTGTCATTAAAGTTATTTTCATTCCAAAGGTTCTATTTCTGTCTTAGCATTAATTTCACTGAACACGGTATGTTGGACATTATTACTATTATATTGCATTTTTGTTTGATTACCTTATAATGGTCCGTGCTGTGTAAACTCTTGAGCATATTTGATTTTTTTTTACAGATAACCGATTGGTGGTTGGATGACATGTACCTAAAGGTCCGCCTGCCTCTGCCGATCAATTCCAATCCTGGTATGGTGTTTCCGAAACGGCACTTCGCAAAAATGGAGGAGGTAGCAGATCTTGGCGCGCTGTTCATCGACGACCTGCTCGATTATAAAGAGATGTTGGACAGGTAAATTATAGGTGGAATTTTCTGTAGCTGCCTCCGAGTCAGGTCAATTGATCTTGATATATCCACATTAAGCATTTTAGGTTTTAACTGATAGCTTTTCGTTATAGAGGAGAGCTTCCGCTGGAACGAGCGACTAGCCGCGAGAAAGGTCAGCCTTTATGCATGGAGCAGTTCTACCGTCTGCTGGGTGTGTGCCGCGTTCCAGGCGTGGGCAAAGATCGCTTGGAACTGCCAGCGATGGCCGAGAGGGAAAATGAGGAGCTCGTTGTAGTCGCTTGCAAAAACTATGTAAGTTTTATTACCATACACCTTTTGAGCCCTGATTTATTATCTCTGGTAGTTCCTTCAGAAAATAACTATTGCGATAATAACCAATTGTGAGGAAATAGATTTATACGCTTAGAGCATACAACACGGGAGGCGCCATCCATAGGCAGTCCCCTCTGTCAAAGTACGAGTAAAAAAATACTACAACACAATAAAAACTACTTTTGAATAGAGATTATCCATTTCAAACATCGAATTCATGAAATTAGTCGTCTTGCGCCGCACAAACTTGTAAGAAAAGCTCTACTATATCCGCTCTAGGCAAAGAGGGACTTTTGTTTATATGTGATAAAGTGACACAACTCGATATTGAATTTGAGTGCACCTCTTTGCTTGTAGTAGTATATCCTCCCTCATCAAAGAATAGCAGAAAGTTTTGTTTGACAAATAATGCTTACAGCGTCTCCCTTGTCACTACTATACGTGATAGCAAAAACATTCAAAGCAATTATATTACTAGACATGTTTCGTTAAGAAATTAAAATAACAAATTAAACAATAATCTCAGTTAATTATAAAGAATTTTCTTTTTAAAACATATAAATAAATAAATAACACACACACTCATGGCCCCGCACTAGGGAAACCCTGTATCGCGCGTACCATGGACACACACATAGAGGTAGACAACCAGAAGTTACACCCAAACTCACGAGAGAAATAAATGTGCGCCGTGCAAATAATTCTCCCGGCCCGAAAATCGAACCCGGGACCTCTGCGTAGCAGTCCAGCGCGGTAACCGTTCGGCCACAGGCAGTTAAAATATATTAATTGAATTGCTAAGGCGGAAAATTTTACCCAACAACGAATCCAATAAATCCCAGAAAGGTGGAACTAATCAAAACTTAAGCAAGTATTAAGTTTAGTAATAAAGCTCTGTACCGACTACGGGTAAGTATAATTAAGTTGGACTGTTAGGACTAAGTAACTAAGTTACGGTTGATTGGAGGATCATTGAAGGTCGATCACTTAGCGACACACCTACTTATTGGATACGTAGCCACAATAAAAATAAAATAAATACCTAATCGTGTTACAAGTGTGAGTTGATTATTGGTAATCCTTGGAATATTACATACTACAATAAATTTAGTTGTACCCTCACGGTTCATCCTTCGGACTAACACTCCGTCCTTATGTCATTGATATACCACCCGAAGCGTTTTGTGCTTTGAAACAAACTCCTAACGGCGGATGGTACCGCGAGTCGGTAGGCGGGATCTCATCATTGAAAGAGTTGAACTGTTTGGCTTGGCCAGTTCTAACATTAATTTCACTAAAATCACGAAGTTTTACTGCCATAATATCCAATTATTTATTGTGAAATTACTTCACTGGTTTGTTATAAGTAATTATATTAATACAAAGATCGAACACTAAGAAAAATTCTTTTGTTCGAACAAAATAGCAGACCTTTCGAACTTGTTTCAGTTCTATCCGATTCCCGTGAAAGCCGCAGACCGCGGGCGTTTAACTGCTGGTGAGATTCAAGCCCAGCTATTGCACGCTATGGTGGATGCGGCAGGGGCTCCGTTGGCTCCGAAAGTCGGCCTGCTCACCGGTATGAACAGAGACCAGTGGGCACGAGCCAGGGAACAGCTCGCTAAAGGTACTGTGTGAAGAAAATGTTTGGTATAGATAGTCCACAAAATAAATGTATTTAACGAGAGGTCTCTTCATTCGTTCCCATGAAAGTTGTAGACCCATGAGACCAGCGAGAAACGTATGCAGTCTTATTCAGATTACATTTTAATAAAGTGATATTATCCAGTACCATATTTAGGAACAAATATTTTAGGCCGTGGTCACGGAATTAGTTTTAAAGCTAAATAATATGGGTTAAAGTATGAAATTGCCGATTTGTACTGAAAATCTAAATTGTTTATTTTTTAAATTTTTAACAAATTTATT